ATTGCCTTGGGTCCATTTCTGGGTTTTCTGTTCTGTTCCACTGGTCTATCTGCCTGTTCTTGTGCCAGTACCAGGCTGTATTGATTATAGTCGCTTTGTAGTATAACCTGATATCTGGTATTGTGATCCCACCTACTTTGTCCTTCTTTTTCAAGATTGCTGTGGCTATTCGGGGTCCTTTTTGGTTCCATATGAACCTTTGAAGTATTTGTTCTAGTTCTATGAAATATGTCGTTGGTATTTTGATGGGGATTGCATTGAATCTATAGATTGCTTTAGTTAGTATGGACATTTTAATGATGTTAATTCTTCCAATCCACTTTTTTATATCTTCCTCTAGTTCTTTTTTCAATGACCTGTAGTTTTCTGCAAATAGGTCCTTTACTTCTTTGGTTAAGTTTATTCCTAGGCATCTTAATTTTTTTGGCGCTATGGTAAATGGGATTGTTTTTCAGTTTCTCTTTCTGTGAGTTCATCATTGGTGTACAAGAATGCCGTCGATTTCTTGATGTTAATTTTGTATCCTGCTACTTTGTCAAATTCATTTATTAAGTGTAGTAGATTTTTTATGGAGTCTTTAGGGTTTTCTATGTATAATATCATGTCATCTGCAAATAATGACAGTTTCACTTCCTCCTTTCCAATTTGGATCCCTTTTATTTTTTCTTCATGTCTGATTGGTGTTGCTAAGACTTCCAGTACAATGTTAAATAAGAGTGGCAAAAGTGGACATCCCTGTCTTGTTCCTGTTCTTAATGGAAATGTTTTTAGTTTCTGTCCATTGAGTATGATGTTGGCTGTAGGTCTTTCATATATGGCCCTTATTATGTCGAGATAGGATCCCTCTATTCCCACATTGCTGAGCGTTTTTATCAGGAATGGATGCTGGATTTTGTCGAATGCTTTTTCAGCATCTATTGATATTAGCATGTGGTTTTTATTCTTCATTTTGTTTATGTGGTGTATCACGTTTATTGATTTGCGAATATTGTACCTGCCTTGCATGCCTGGAATGAATCCCACTTGGTCATGGTGAATAATTTTTTTGATGTATTTCTGGATCCGAATATTTTGTTCAGGATTTTGGCGTCTATGTTCATCAGGGATATTGGCCTGTAGTTTTCTTTCTTCGTAGTGTCTTTTTCTGGTTTTGGAATTAGAATTATGCTGGCCTCATAGAACGTGTTTGGAAGTGTTCCTTCTTATTGAATTTTTTAAATAGTTTGAGGAGAATGGGTGTTAGTTCTTTTTTGAATATTTGGTAAAACTCCCCCGTGAAGCCATCTGGGCCTGGGCTTTTGTTTGCTGGGAGTGTCTTGATTACATCTTCAATTTCCTTAGTCGTTATTGGTCTGTTCAGGTTTTCTATCTCTTTCGGGTCCAGTTTTGGGAGTCTGTGTGTTTCTAGAAATTTCTCCATTTGGCTTAGATTGTCGATATTGTTGCCATATAGTTGTTCATAGTAGTTGTTAACGATCTTTTGTATTTCCGTGGTGTTCGTTGTTACTTCTCCTGTTTCATTTTTAATTTTGTGTATTTGGGTTCTCTCTCTTTGTTTCTTGGTGAGTCTAGCTAAGGGTCCATCAATCTTGTTTATCCTTTCAAAAAACCAGCTCTTTGTTTCATTGATCCTTTGAATTGTTTTTTTGGACTCTATGTCATTTATTTCTGCTCTTATCTTTACTATTTCCTTCCTTCTACTTGCTCTGGGGTTTTCTTTTTGTTTGCTTTCTAATTCTTTAAGTTGTGAGGTTAGACATTCAATTAGAATTTTTTCTTGTTTTTTGAGGTAAGCCTGTCGTGCTATGAACTTCCCTCTCAGGACTGCTTTCGCTGCATCCCATGGATTTTGTGTTGTTGTGTGTTCATTTTCATTGGTTTCCAAGAAGTTTTTAATTTCTTCCTTGATCTTTTCGGTGACCCATTCATTGTTTAATAACATGCTATTTAGCCTCCATGTGTTGAAATGTCTTTGCATGTTCTTGTTGCAATTGATTTCTAGTTTCATGCCATTGTGATCTGAGAAGATGCTTGATATGATTTCAATCTTCTTGAACTTGTAGAGATTTAGTTTGTGTCCTATCATGTGGTCTATCTTTGAGAATGTCCCATGTGCACTTGAGAAGAATGTATATTCTGTAGTTTTGGGGTGTAATTCTCTGTAGACATCTATTAAATCCATTTGGTCTAGTCTCTGTTTCCTTGTTAATTTTTTGCCTAGAGGATCTATCCAGTGCTGTCAACGGGGTGTTGAAGTCCCCTGCTATGATTGTATTGTTGTCGATTTCTCCTTGGATGTCCTCCAGAAGATTTTTAATATATTTTGGTGCTCCAATATTGGGTGCATATATGTTTATCAAGGTTATATCTTCCTGTTGGATAGATCCTTTCAATATTATGTAGTGGCCTTCTTTGTCTCTAGCTATGGTCTTCATTTTGAAATCTATTTTATCTGATGAGAATTGCTACCCCAGGTTTTTTTACTTTCCATTTGCTTGGAAAATTTTTTTCCATCCCTTCACTTTCAACCTATGTGAGTCTTTTGTTGTGAAGTGGGTCTCTTGTAAACAACATATGGATGAGTCATGCTTTCTTATCCAATCTTCTACTCTGTGTCTTTTTATGGGAGCATTCAATTCATTTACATTTAAGGTGATTATTGATATGTACTTATTTATTGCCATTTTTGTTTAGTGTGGTTCTATTTTTCTTCCCATTTCTACTGCTAATTACAGTAGTTTTTTTTTTTTTAACATTTCTTGCAGTGCTGGTTTGGTGCTAATGTATTCCCTTAGCCTATTTTTTGTCTGGGAAGCTCTTTATTTGACCTTCTATTTTGAATGATAGCCTTGCTGGGTAGAGTAGTCTTGGATTCAGATTCTTGTTTTTCATGACTTTGATTACTTCATGCCATTCCCTTCTGGCCTGTAGTGTTTCTTGTGAGAAGTCAGCTGAGATCCTTATGGGGTTTACTTTGTAGGTAACCTGTTGCTTATCTCTTGCTGCTTTTAGGATTCTCTCTTTGTCTTTAATTTGTGGCATTTTAATTACTATGTGTCTTGGTGTGGGCCTGTTTGGGTTCTTCTTACTTGGGACTCTCTGTGCTTCTTGAACTTGAATGCCTTCTTCCTTCACCAAATTAGGGAAGTTTTCTGTCACTATTTTTTTGAATATATTCTCTATCCCTTGCTCATTTACTTCTTCTTCGAGGACTCCTATGATGCGAATATTATTACGTTTCCAGTTGTCCCACAGTTCTCTTAGGCTGTCTTCCTGTTTTTTAATAGTTTTTTCCTTTTGTTTTTCTGATTGTTTGATTTTTTCTACCCTGTTTTCTAATTCACTGATCCGGTCCTCAGCTTCCTCTACTCTGCTTTTCAAACCTTCCAATGTGTTTTTCATTACTGATATGTCCTTTTTTATCTCTTCTTGATGGTTTTTAATTTCCAGTGGGCTTATTTTCAGTGTCTCTATGTCCTTACTCATGCTGTTCAGCTTCCTCAAGATCATGGCTCTGAATTCCTGCTCTGTTAACATGCCTAATTGCTCCACATTGATCTCATCTTTGGTGGAGGTCTCTTGCTCTTTCATTTGGCGTCTGTTTCTGTGTTTCACCATGTTGGCTATCACTGTGGGCTTTGGAGCCTGTCAAGTTCTCCCTGTGGGTGTTGGTGTTCTGCTGTTTGTGGCTCCCTCTCCTGGGTTTAGATGAGCGAGGGAGGACCCATGTTAAACACCACTGTCAAGTCTTACTTTCCTGGTTAAAGTTGCCAGCCCAGGAAAGGTACTGTTATCCTCTAGCTTTTTGCCATGGAGGCTAGCAGTCGAGGTTACTTGATGAGTTTTGGGTTGTCAGTTGATTGAAAAACTCCCTCAGGTGCTCAGCACAGGGGGCTTTCACGAGGGTGGGGCAGATGCTGGTTGTTAATGAGCTTCAATTAGCACTTCAGTGGCTCACAGGGTGGGGTTGGATCTCCGAGGGAGGGGCTACTGCCTCTCCCCCGAGCCCTGGGAAGGAGCAATGTGTCCACCGTCCTGTGTGGCTGGCACTCAGCAAACGCTCTGAGTGCCCTACAAATCCCGAGTGTCCCGACACAGTTCCATTCCAGTCTGCCCTCCCTCTGCTGGAGCCCAAGGTGAGTGGCTGTGGCTGTTTTAGCCTCTGTCCCGGCTCTGCACTGTGGAGCCGCCTGGGAGTGTGACCCGAGGGTGCTGCTTCCAGCTGAGTCCGCTGCCGAGCTGCCGACCATGGGCTCCCAGCCCCTGTCTCGCGCCTTCGCAAGCCTACCAGGATGGAGTCAGTGTCCCTCGTTATATGGTCCTCGCAAGCTGCTTTTCTGTTGCTTTTTCCCTTCAATTTTTCTGTGTTATAGTTGTAATTCCAGTTTGGTTCTGGGAGATGGTCTGTGTAGCTTCCGTTCACTCTGCCGCCATTTTTCGATCTCTCTCTGTGCTTTTTGAACTTGAATGCCTTCTTCCTTCACCAAGTTAGGAAAGTTTTCTGTAACTATTTCTTCAAATATATTCTCTATTCCTTACCCATTTTCTTCCTCTTCGGGGACTCCTATGATGCAAATGTTATTACATTTCCAGTTGTCCCACAGTTCTCTTAAGCTATCTTCCTGTTTTTCAATTGTTTTTTCCTTTTGGCTTTCCGATTGTTTGATTTTTTTCTACCCTGTCTTCTAATTCACTAATCCAGTCCTCAGCTTCCTCTACTATGATGGTTAGTCCTTGCAATGTGTTCTTAATTTCTGCTATGTCATTCTTCATTTCTACTTGGTTGGTTTTCTATGTTTCTATATCTTTACTCATGGTGCTGATGTCCTTACTCATGCTGTTTAGCTTCCTCAAGATCATGGCTCTGACCTTCACCTCTGATAATTTGCTTAGCTGCATTTCATTGATTTCATCTTCGATAGAGTTCTCTTGTTCTTTTATTTGTGATTTGTTTCTTTGTTTCACCATTTTGGCTATCTCAGTGTGTTTTGGATCCGTAGCTTGTATATTCTCATCAGCACTCAGGAATCCTCTGCAGGCATACTTGGAACATAAGCTGGGAAAGGGTTGGGGTGGGTGGGAGGCTTCTGTTTTTGTCCATGGTACTATCCCATTCTTGTCCTCTCTCCTTCCCACACTTTCTTAGAGAGTCAGAAAAGATGGGATCTGAAAATCCCTTATTTTAGATCCTGCATGTAGCTGAAACCCTGCCCACAAAAGCAGTGACTAATTGTTATTGACTGACGGGTGTAGAAGCCTGTGGTGCGGCATTCCTACTGTCAGGTTGTCTGTTTGTGCAGAAGCTTCCCAGGAAGGCAGAGCTGTTTAGCTTGTCTCTTCCTACTGGTCTTGATAGAGTGGTTCTCAAGGGAGGGCTTCCTGGTGTGGGAGGATCATGATGCCCACAGGGCAAGAGCATTAGTGTGCTATGAATTCTCTCATGGCTGAGGGTTCTGAGAGAAAAAGAGGGGACTCACATTGACTGAGTGCCTGCGTTGAACCTTGTTGCCAACATTTCTTTCATCCTCTCAGCAACCCGGGGAGGGGAGGATGTGATTTTCCCATTTTACTAAATAGGAGAATGAATCTCAGGGTCACATAAAGCTTGAAGCATAGACTGGGAAGAATCTCCCATATCTGAGGAATCTGGGAGGGGCTAACCTACTGATCTGGGTGGTGTGTTTTTTGCAGATGGCTGTGTGACTTAAACTTTCTTTCTGTCCTATTGTTCCCCTAGGACCAAGGACTCCCCAAACTAAGTCTTATCATGGTGATTCTGAATGTCATTTTTATGAATGGCAACAAGGCTAGTGAGGGTGAGTGGCTGTGCACGCAGCTGAATGGGTGGCATGGTCAGAATTCCATGTGTTCATTTTCTGTCCTTGTCTTCTTTTGCCTCCCTTGCAGCTGTCATCTGGGAGGTGCTGTGCAAGTTGGGGCCCTGGGTGTGTTTGGGCTCTCTCAGCACTTGTTGTCCATGTTGTCCTTTGGCAAGAGAGGATGGTCCCGGGATCACATCAGCCTGGTGTTCTGGTGGAGCAGGCTGGGGTGCTGGACGGGGTAGACAGCCCACAGCTTGGACCTGGGTAGATGAGGAAATTGTCATGAACTCCCTGCTCCCTCTTACCTCTCTGTCCCCTGTCTGTTCTAAGATGAGATAGAAAATAGACCTTCAGGGTATCCCTGACAAAGAACCATTTGGCCTCAACTGTCTACTTTTCATGATCATGTCTTTGTGTACTACTTTTCTGGTTTCATTAAAATAGCCATATGTACCAGAAAGGTCTCTTTCATGTTGTTAAATGCTTCTGCCCGCATCTGGGAAGTTCTGATCTCTGTTCATGGGTTAAGTTTCTCATGGGTTAACTTCCCACAAGTAAGTGCCAGGGTGAGGCACTTGCTCTTTGGGGAAGTGAGGAAACTCATCACAGACGAGTTTGTGAAGCAGAAGTAAGTGATGTTTAGGGGCATTGTCATGCCTTGAAGTGTTCTGAGTGTGTTGGTCTGATTCAGAAAGTGCTTGATAAGCCATTCTCTTATAGTAGCTTTAGAGGTATTGGCATTCTTTGCCCTAAATATGAGTCCTATCCACAATTCCCATGGGTGGACCATTCCAAGGCTGGGCCAGATCAAATGCAAAGTCCTTATTATGGGGTGTGCTCAGAACAGGGTGTATGAAGAACGGCTCCTCTGTTTACAACACACCCAACAGGAACTTGGGTTTACTCCTCACAGGTGGCAGGATACTTTAGCCTTCCTGTGACATCATGCCCTATACATGCCTCCCTTGCAGCCCCAAGTGACTTTTTTGTACATAACCAGTGGGAAATGGCTTAATATTGGAGGCCAAGACCATGAATTGTGTTTGGGAGTGGATTTGAGAAAGGAGGGTCTTGAAAAATCTTCTCCAGGAGCTGAGTTTAGTATGTGTTTAAAGGAGGTTGCCACCTGGTGCCCAGTGGTTAGACAACAATTTTATTTGTTTAGAAGCATTTCCTTTCTCCAAGGTACCTGGAATACAAGAGGGTTCCCAACAGCAGACCACGTGAATATGAGTTCTCCTGGGGCTTGTGCTCCTACCATGAGACTAGCAAGATGAAAGTTCTCAAGTTTGCCCGCAAGGTAATAGGAGAATTGCCCTGACTTGGCATATTAAGGGTATGGGTAGCCTCTGACTGGGGCAGTCTGTGTGCAAGGATGGGCAGGTATAGGGCAGCCTGCAGTTTATATATAAACACATGGAACTTCATTTTGTCCCAGGATGCTGTCCAACATAAAGTTTACATTGTTTCATTCATTCTTCATATTTTGTATTAGTATTAGTATGCTCAGAATGTTATTACAAAATAGCATAGACTGGATCACTTAAATGAAGTCCCAGATCAAGGTCTAGCAGTATTAGTTTCTGGTGAGGTCTCTTTTCCTGGCTGGCAGACAGATGCCTTCTTGCTATGTCCTCATATGGTGGAACGAGAGCTTCTTCTTATGAGGACGCTAATCCTATTGGATCAGAGCTCTACTGTTATGACTTCATTAAACTTTACCTCCATAAGGGCCCTATCTCCAAAAATAGTAACATTGAGGGTTGATGCTTCAAAATATGAATTTGGGGTGGGGCACAGCATTTAATCCATAATATATTTACTCTTTTATCATCTTCCATATTATAGATGAAGACACTTGGGCTCAGTGAGGTTAAGTAACAGCACCTAAGTTATCAGAGCTGAAATTGTATCTCAAGACTGATCCATGATAGAGCCCAATAACTAAGAACTTAAAAAAAATACTGCTATTAATTTTATACCAAGTCCATAATATGTACTTAATACATAATTATAATGTCATTTTCCTTATAATGATTATCATTCCCATTTCAGGTACAGAAGAAAGACCCCAAGGACTGAGCTGCTCAATATCGGGAGGCAGTAGAGATGGAAGTCCAGGCCGCAGCTGTGACTGTGGCTGAGGCAGAGGCTGAGGCCAGGGCTGAGACAAGAGCTCAAATGGGAATTGGAGAGGAAGCTGTGGCTGGGCCTTGGAATTGGGATGACATGGATATTGACTGCCTAACAAGGGAAGAGTTACACGATGATGCTCAGGCCTGGGGCAGCTTTTCATTTGAAATTGAGTCCAGAGCCCAAGAACATGCAGATGCCAGCACCAACATCAACTTCAGGAGAGGAGCTAGCACCAGAGCTAGCTTCTGCAATGGTGCTAGTATTAGCTTCAGTGGTACACCCAGTCACAGTGGTGTCTTTGGTGGCAGAACTGGCATTAGCTTTGGTGGCACACCCGGCACCAGTGCCAGCTTTTGCAGCACAGCCAGCATTAGTTTTGGTGGCACACCTTGTACCAGTGCTAGCTTTGGTAGTGGGGTCAGCTCTAGTTTCAGCAGCCCACTCATCACCAGTACCAGTTTCAGTGGTGGAGATAGCTCTGATTTTGGAGGCACACTCAGCACCACTGCTGGCTTCAGTGGTGTGCTTATGACCAGTACCAGGTTTGGCAGTGCACCCAGCACCAGTGCAGTCTTTAGTGGTGCACTCAGCATCAGCACTGCCTTTGGTGGCACACTCAGTACTAGTATCTGCTTCAGTGGCTCTTCCAGCACCATCACTGACTTTGGTGGTACACTGAGCACCAGCATCTGCTTCAGTGACTCTCCGAGTACTAGTGCCAGCTTTGATGGTACAGTCAGCACCAGTGTTGGCTTTGTTGGTGCACTCAACACCAGTGCTGGTTTCAGCAGTGCTGTAAATGGTAGCACCGGCTTCAGTGTGCACCTACCACAAACTCTGGCTTTGGTAGTGTGTTCAGCACTAGTTCTGACTTCACTGGGGCACTTAGCACCACTACTGACTTTGGAGGTGCTCCCAGCACCAGTATTGACTTTGGTGGAAGTCCCAGCACCAGCCTCTGCTTTGGTAGTGTCTAATACCAACCTGTGCTTTGGTGGCGCTCCTAACACCAGCACCTGCTTTAGTGGAGCTACCAGTGCCAATTTTGATAATGGGCTTAGCACCAGTGTGGGTTTTAACTTTGACAATGGGTTAAGTACTGGCACTGAATTTGGTGGCAGACTGAGCACCAGCACTAGCTTCAGTGGTGGACTAGGCACCAGTGCTGGCTTTAGTGGTGGACTGATCTCCAACAATGGCTTTGGTGGTGGACTGGGCACGAATGCTGGTTTTGGCAAACACTTGGCACCAGTGTTGGTTTTAGTGGTAGCCTCAATATCAGTGGTGGCTTTGGTGGTGGGCCTAATACCAGCTTTGGCGGAGGACTGAGTACCATCATTGACTTTGGCAGGAGCTCCAACACCAGCATTGGCTTCAGTGGTGGACCCAGTTGTATCATTGGCTTCAGCAGTGGACTGAGCAATGGTGCTACCTTTGGTGGTAGAGCCACCAGCCTTGGGGCCTGTAGCTTCTATGGCTAATGAGGTTCCAGGTAATTACAGCATTTCCACAGCCAAGGCCCGTGGATATGAATATACGTGCTGGGAGATGTTACAAGAAACCCCAAGGTGTGAGGGTAGGGTGGGGAGATGAGGACAATAGAGGAAGTATGAGAAAATAGTATATTTGATGCTAAAATATATTCCTTTTTGGTGTTTTGTTTTCAGGTTTATTTTCCATGTTTACAGACACCACTAAACAGTTGCAGCAGTCCTTCCTTCCCATGGAGCCAAGGTACACCCTTGGAATCTTTGTCCACCCAGCAGTCTAAGCAGATACTACCAATCCACTGAGGTTGACATGTTATGAAAAATCTGGTTGCCAATCCTGCTTTATTGTTTGCTTTCCATGTGCTATCATATTTTAGCATCAGAGTTACATTAAATTTGTAAAATGAATTGAAGGTGTTTTTTTTTTTGTTTTCTTTTATTATGCTTAGGTTGTTGTTAGTGATATTTTAGGTTCATAGAAGAGCTAAAGATCAGCATAGCTCTTTGGGTAAGGTGGAGTCCATCTTTAGGCTAAAAGGAAAGTATGATTTCAGTGGGGTAGAGACCTGGGGAAAGCATGGCAGGCAAGGGGATAATAGCTTGAATAAAGATATGGAGGGGGAAAGCCTGGAACAGAATGAAGAGGGAGAAGGTTCTGGACAGTAATTATAGATTCATTTTGAGATGTTTGTGTAAGAATGGAGGGAGAGAGTGGGAGGTAACTAGAAGGGGACACAGGAACAAGGGAGGGTTTTATTAGGATAGGAGAAAGATGTGACCATGTTACATAGATCTTGGGGGCAAAAGCCAACAGAAAAGGACAGGAGATAGAAAAGGAATGATCAGGAAATGACTGAAGTAGGAAATCCCTGAAATGGTGGGATGCGGTAGAGTACCAGAAAATAGTGTATGAGTTTGCCTTTTCAGCACTGAGTTGTTCGTACCTGCCCAGAAATACTACGTGCATGCCCACTGTGTAAGAAGCATGCTGCTAGGTATCCTGTGCACGACACAGAAAATTGTAAGGACTAGGGGTTAGTGGTCAGATAGTGGGATGCTTGAATTTAAGAAGTCAGACCAGCTCTGGCTGGTTTGGCTTAGCGGTTGGAGCATTGGCCTGTGGACCAAAGAGTCACAGGTTCGATTCTGGTCAAGGGCACACGCCTCAGTTGCAGTTCATCCCTGGCCCTGGGCAGGGTCATTTGGGAGGCAACCAATTGATGTATCCCTCTCACGTCGCTGTTTCTCTCTCTCCCTCCCTCCCTCCCACTCTATCTAAAGATAAATAGAAAAAAAATATCCTCAGGTGAGGGTTTTTAAAAAATATGTCAGACTGGAAAGAAATCTACTAGATGCCAACGTTTATGGAGTGGGTGATCAGTGGCGTTGAGGGGGACTGGGAAGCCAGGGTACTGTTTGGATTATTTATATGGACAATGATAATACTGAGAATGGCAGCAAGAGTTGGAGAAGAGAGGAGCACTGTGGTCCAAGTACAGCTTCTCTGTGTATAGGGATGATGTCATGCCCCCAACCACACAGCCCCCAAAAGAACAAAGCCCATAGGCAGTCACAGAGACCTATCTCCTCCCTCACTTTTGGAAGTGCTATCCCAGAACTCTTTCTTCCAGGAATCTCTCACCCATTCCGTAGTCCCACAGCACCAGAGTCACTTCACAGGGTCAGGATCTTAAGAAGATCCAAGATCCTATGGGAGAAGTCTCACAATAACCATCTCTTCCCTCTTAGAGGCAATCAGAGAGTTATCATTGGTTAGGGTATAAAAATTAAGAAAAATGTTTTCATCCAGAGCTAGACAGCTCCTTGGTTGTAGCTAGAAATTGACACCTGTTTTGGAACTGCTGAGGGCTTCTTCATTGGAAGCAGGGCTCTCTCAAAGAGGCCAAATCCAAAGTCTTCTTAGTGTAGAAGAGCAAGGATAGAAGCTCCTAAAGGTGGAAGACAGTGAGGAAAGAGGCAGTTTAACCTCTTGGAAAGGGCTCAGTAGTGGGCAGGGACGGTGTCCAGGGCTTCCTCCGGTTCTCGGGTGATGTCCACATTCTGAGAAAAGAAAGCCCAGGATTAATAGGAAGGAGACAGCAGTATGGAGCCCCAGCCCCTCCCCTGTATGTTGTCCTAACTACCAGGCTCCCCTCTTTTAGCCAGGCCTGGATCCTGATACTTTCACAGGAAAGCCTGGAGGAATCTTGCCTGAGGCCTTTGGCATGGGTTTCTATGGCCCTGCATCTCCATGGTTCCAGCACTTCTAGGTGCTGGTTATCTATTTGATTCTGCAAAACACCCAAGGTCTCTGGGACTGGGGTGGCCTTTCAGTGGGGGAGGGTGCTTTTGTCATGTGCTAGCTTAGGCCACAGAGCCTGTCACCTACCTCAGGCATCTCCCGGTGTGTGTTTACAGCCTCCACATTTAGGTAGATGGACTCCACTTTGCAGCCTCAAAAAGAACAACCCATCCATCCATAAACCCCGAAGGAAAGCACAGGTCTTTTCTGAGGTGTCATTCCCCAATGCCCCCATCACCACCCACACCCCCAGCTCCACGCTGTATGCACTTGTGAATTCCCTGTGGGGAGGGGAATTTAGACCAGCTATGTGATGTGGGGAAGACACCAAAGCTAAGAGGCAGCGGATGGGACATCCTCCCAGCTTGTCCTCTAATAGTCTCAGTGTTCTCTGAGCCTCAGTTGCTCAATTGTCAATGGAAAGATGAGAAGAGATGATCTCTGGGGTCTCCCCCAACTCTTCTGGTCTGAGAGACAGCAATCTAGTCTATCTAATAATGCTGGAACTCTGTGAATCCTCCAAGCTGTGCCAGGTTGTCAAGTGGTGAAAGAGTGCCTGGGCCACCACCTTGGGACTATCAGTCACAGATACAGTTATTTAGAGGACAAGGGTTATGGCAACATCTGAGGTGTGGAAGGTCACAAGGGAGGTTTGGCGAGCCTGAAGGAGAATGATGTTATCACTGGGGCCTGGGACTGGCAGAGGAAGCCCAATGCCTGTGGAAACCCCCTTAACTCCATCTCTGGATTACAACTGCCAACTGCCCTGTTCGTACCCCTGAACAGATATTAGTCTGTCTCTTCCCTGCTCACGAAAATTTCATAGCTAACTAATACCCTAAGAGAGAGTCTAAATTTCCCAGGCTAGCCCTTTCTTTAATCTGGCCCCAAAATACACTACATACACTCACTTGTTCCTCTGGTCCCCTTTGGAGATGCCCACTCCCCCACCCTGCTCAGCTTGGTGCTGTATCCTCAGTGCTCTGGTAGAGAAAGAGGAAGTTGGGCTAGGCCGCAGTTTAGAGGCCATCCCCGTTTTTCCCCATTCTCACCTTGCCACCTCCACCAGGACATCCAACTACCCACCAAAGGAACCCCACCCCAGGACTCTACTGGGCACATTGCAGGCACTGGAGGAATGCTAATGGCCTCTATGTGTCTTTCCCCAGATGAAGGCGGGGCTCTCACCATAAGCCACAGGTGTGAGTTTGAGCACTGTGTGCAGAGGGCACTTGAGATATGGTAGCTCATCTGGAAAGGAGGAGAAAGCAGCCATCAGAGGAGGTGCTGGGGAGGTCACCAGGCCCCCAGGCCTGCAGGTTTACAGCACTGTCCCCTGTCCATACCCCTTCCCCATGGTCGGGCTCCCCAGGGGCCCACTCCCCTGCAGGGTGGCCAGGGAGAAAGAGAGCACAGGGGAGGCAGGAGAGCCCTGGGGAATGCAGCCCGACTGTGGGTCCCCCAGGCGAGTCAGGATGGGCACCTTGGCGGTGGCCTACCTCCTCACTAACAAGGCAGCCATGACACCAAGGCAGCTCCCCTGCCCCCGGCCCAGCCTCGGGTCTTTCACAGGCTCCCAGGCCACAGAGGCCCACAGTGCACCTCCCCAAGGGTTTCCTGAGGCCCTAGTGTGCACCAGGCCCTCGGACGAGGTGTGCCGGTACCTGGGCAGCTCCCATCCTGGCCTGCACCTCAGACCCCTCTCACTCTTGATAATGGACAAGCATTCCTCGATTGACTTGCTTCCAGTTACTGACTATTTTGCATCAAGTTCTCTGAATATTCACTCACCATTCCTTGTATGGGCCTGGGTTTTATTTAGCAGACAGCCCCGAGGGGAGGGCATGGTCAGGCTCATAGCACAGATGAGGAAAACAAGGCTCTCAGAGTGAGGACACTCGCCCCAAGGCACACAGCCAGGCTGTGGCATTGCTGGGCCTGGAACCCAGAACCCTCTGAGTTCAGTTCAAATGTGCAGTCTGCCAACTGCGCCTTCGAGGGGCTCACAGTGTCTTGGTGGCCACATCCCCACCTCTGGACACGCTGTGATGACACCCACCTGCCCGACCACCCAGACTGCCCGTACCACTCCCCATCTCCCTTCATTGAGGCAGAACCCCACCCCTCAGGGCTTCCGACCCCTGAGGTTGCTCCTACACGTTTGAGGGGCCTGCCAATGCCCTGCCAGCCCCCTGAGACATCTGTTTTTCAGTCTCCTGGGCGTCCATCCTGCTGCTCCTCGTCGTCTTGGTCCGCATCAGCGTCAGGCCCTGAGCCCCGTCACTCTGGTGCGCCATCTCCTTCCAGGCTCGCTGACACTGAGGGAGTTACTGTTCCTCGTGGCACACGTGACGGAACCGACCCGGAGCAGGGAACCCACCTGCCTGAGGTCTCTCGGCCCCTCTGCCACCACCTCCACAAGTGGCCTGGCACTGTCTTTTCTTTCTCTGGCCCTTAGAGTTCCCATCTCTCACAGCATGGGATTGGACTGCATGTACTCTGGGGTTGCCCAGCTGAGGTCCCTTGGGTCTGCATCCCTGGTCACGTCATCTCTGTGGGCCTCCGTCTCCACACCTGGGTGATGGGGGTAGGAGCATGTGCTCGGCCTGCCTGGCTCAGCTCCCAGGGCAGCTCTGAGCCGCTGGTGTGGCCTGTGCATGAAAGCAGGTGGGAAGTGGGGAAAGCAGTGTGCGAACAGGGCATGCGCGTGCCACCCACACACTCCAGGCGTGTGTGAGGGGAGGCTTCTGGAATGCATCTGGGGTTCACGCCCCTCCCAGCCCCTCTGAGCCCCGTGACCCAGGTAGGGCCAGTCACTTCAGCTCTCCGAGCCTCCGTTTCCTCATCTGCACTGTCAGGTGGCAGTGCCCACCTCGCAGTCTCAAGCACGGCACCGAGCAGTAGGTCCTTGGAGCGTGTCGATCTAGTAGCACTGGGACCCCCACCCTCATCCCCGTCACATTTTTTCAGTGAGGAGATGGAGGAAATAATTGGTCCAGTGTCAAGTTCTCAAGTTCCCCAGGTTCCAATTCTGGATGCCTCCATATTACAAGTGCCCTTGATTTTGACATTAGCAACATAGAAATGATACAAAACTGCACACATTGTGCACTTCAAATATGGCTCTGCACTGGGCTCACACTCATCCGCAGCGTCTTGGAGATGCCAACACTTCAGTGTCCACGTCAGAAGTGGACTCTCACACCTGAGGGTGGCACAACAGTCCCTTGCCAGGCCACCGCCCTAGTTTGCAATTCAGTATATGTAGTCAGTGTATAAATACCCTGTAAATTACAATG